GCCAATATCCTGTATTGTTTTAGGATTCTCTTGAACCATCCTGACCAACAATAGGAAAGGTTTCCCATGTCTGGCACACATGTATATACACCACACATTCACACACACACACACACACACACACACACACTAAGCTTGTACACATAAACGACACAAATTCACACACACACACCAAGCTTGTACATATAAACCACACAAATTCACACACATACACACACACACAAATTCACACACATATACACACACACATTCACATAATCCCTGCAAAACCAAAGAAAATTGCCCCCATCTTTTCATAAATTATCTTATACTTTAAAAGCAAATGCAGGGGCTGGAGAGATGGCTCAGCGGTTAAGAGCACCAACTGCTCTTCAGAGATCCTGAGTTCAATTCCCAGAAACTACATGGTGGCTCACAGCCATCTGTAATGGGATCTGATGCCCTCTTCTGGTTTATCTGAAGACAGGGATGGTGGTACTCATATACATTAAATAAATAAATCTTTAAAAAAAATTCTTTAAAAAAAATAAAAGCAAATTCAGTCCTTCAATTTCACTAAGTTGTATTTACGTTAAATTAGCAGTTCCAAATAATTTTTATAGAATGTAGATGAGACATTTCTATCATTTTTGAAAAGAAATAATAAGCATGTTTCATCCACATACATACAGAAATGAAGTCACACGGTTATTCATCCAAGAGGAACAGACGAAGAGGGAAAAGGGATCTTTATGAAGTTATTAGCTATGGAAACCCAATTAATTCAGACCTAACAAGGTTACTAGGCTGGAGAGATGGCTCAGTGGTTAAGAGCACTGACTGCTCTTCCAGAGGTCCTGAGTTCAATTCTCAGCAACCACATGATGACTTACAACTATCTGTAATAGGATCTCATGCCCTCTTCTGTGTCTGAAGATACTTACAGCAATATATATATATATATATATATATATATATATGTATATATATATTTTTTTTCTCAGCCATATATATATATGTATACATATATATACACATATATATGTAAAATCTAAAAAACAGCAAGGTTACAAGAAAGATATTTAAATATTTAAATATCAAAAAACCAAAAAGTTGGGTTCCAGGAGCTGGAGAGATGGCTTAGCAGTTAGGAGCACTTTCTGCTCTTACAGAGGACCTGAGTTCAGTTGATACCTACACTGGGCAGCTCACAGCCACCTGCAACCCCACCTCCCAGGGATCCAACACTCTCTTCTGGTTTCTGCATGTACCTGAACACATGTTCACAGACATTCATACACTTAAAAATAAAGTCTAAAACAACAATAATTTATAAATAAACTTACTTTTATTTCTTTGTGGGGAATAAAATCCTGCTGTCTGGGAAAAAAAAGTCTTTAATTTACCAGTATCATCTTTAGATTTAAAAATATAGAAACACCCTAGATATCCTCCAACGGGGGTGGGGGCAGATGGGGGGAAGAAATCTCGAATGGTGGTATAGCCATGACCTCATCCTCCACACCAGCTGCTGGGATGCATCTGGGTTATTTGCCTCAGCAAAGATGAGGCACATAGGCAGAAGGTGGCTAGCGGAAGCAAGTTGCAGAGAAAGATCCCGAGTCTAGGACCTCACACATTGTGCAGGTGCTCTGTCTACACACTGAACCATCTCTCAGCCATACGATTATTATACCTTGATTGTGGATACGCATATGTAGAGTAAGAATAGGAGAAAAAAAATGTGCATGGTTCAAGGTGACATGAATCCAATTTAGAGAGTTAGACCTAAATCCAGAACCACACAACTTTCATTCTGATATGTTGTGTGGGTGTATGTGATACAGGTGGCTTGAAACCCCTACCCACGGTTACTTTGTATCCATTGGAGCATTTTTGTAATGTGGTGGTGGTGGTGTGTTGAAGAGATACTTGAAGATCTAATCAGGAAACAGGGTCCCCCCCCCCATAGCTAAGTGCTACCCAGTGCTTCAGGAGTTGGCGGTATAGCTGGAAACTAAACAGACACCTGCTCTTCCGGAGGGTGATCTACTTCGAACATAGGTGAACTCCGTAAGTGAACCATAAATCAGTAAAGACAGAAGTCAAGACAGGAGCTTGTGGAGCAGAAAGCAGGGAACCAAGAGGGGCAACTGATCTCTGGTCTCAGAACTCATATCCCTCCTGCCTCAGCTTTCGGAGTCCGTGGAGTCCAGGTGTGTGTCACTGCACAGCCAAATAAAGGCGTCAATACAGCAGTAACAGGGAACTTCAGCACTGCTACCATCCTAGATGTCTGGGGTGGAGGAGACAAAGTCATTTCCCTAAACATCCCACACCCTTGGCCTGTTGCTCTGCTTTCTAGCACTCCCCGGGCGTGTTTATAACAGAAGACACTTGTGCACTAAATCAACGGCCCTCCCTGGGGTGTTTATAATGGAAGACATGTGTGCTCTAGATCAACATCCCCACTTTCCTTTGGGGCTGTGAGACTAGAGATGTGGCTAGTCTTCGGAAAGCTTTCTGCAGTCTCTGGAAGAAGGTACAAATGAGCCCCAAAGATTAAATGAGGCTCTAAGGAGTTGCATCAATAAAAACAAGCAATGGACAAACTGAAATCTCAGTCTTCTCTAGGGAATCAGGCAAGGAGGATTCCTGATGTCTGGCAAACTCAACAGCTCCCAACTGAATAAAACCTGAAGACAGGTTGAACATTCCCAATTTTGAAATCTGAAATTCTTAATGTGGGTTGTGGGAGGCTGGAGAGATGGCTAGAGGTTAAGAGCACTGGCTGTTCTTCCAGAGAAGCCAGGTTCGATTCCCAGCACCCACATGGAGCTTACAGCTCTCAATTCCTGGTACCAACATGGAAGATCACAACTGTCTGTAACTACAGTTCTAGGGAAAATTTTACACCTTCATACAGATACACATGCAGGCAAAAAAAAAAAAAAAAAAAAACCAACGCACACGAAATAAAAATAAAGAAGAAAAAAATGTTTCGAGTTGACATGATGCTCAGTTCAGGATTTGAGTGCCATAGGTCTCCAGAGTTTTAGGCTAGGGGTGGTTCAACTGGAGACTGAAAATATTCCACTTTGTAACAACTGGAGCCGGGCATGCCTATAATCTCAGAACTGAGGATGCTGAGGTAGTAGGATTGTGAGTTCAAGGGCAGCCTAGGTTATGGGACAAGAATCTATTTTAAGGGGCTAGAGATACAGCTCAGCAGTTAAGATCACTGGCTCCTCTTTCAGAGGACCTGGGTTCAATCAAAACACCAACATAGCATCTTGGGGTTCTCGTACCTTGTTTTGGCCTCCATAGGCTCCAGGCACACATGTGACTCAGACATACATGCTGGCAAAATGCACATACACACAGAAATAATATAAAATTTTTTGAGAAAATAAGTTTATCTGAAAACAACCCCCCACCTCTCTCTGAAAAAAGTCTGAATACTTATGGTTCTAGGGATTTCAGACATAAGGAAAATCCTATCCACATTTCCCTTCTTTTTTTCTTTCTCTCTCTCTCTCTCTTTTTGTTTTTCAGGACAGGGTTTCTCTGTGTAGCCCTGGCTGTCCTGGAACTCATTCTGTAGACCAGGCTAGCCTCAAACTCAGAAATCCGCCTGCCTCTGCCTCCCAAGTGCTGGGATTAAAGGTGTGCGCCACCACTGCCCGACCACATTTCTCTTCTTGATTTAAATTTTTCCTTATTACTGTGTATGTGAGTAGGAACTGTTGTCAGAGGAAGCAGTTCTCTCCTTGTCTCCGGGTTCCAGGGATCAAGCTCATGACCTCAGGCTTGTGCAGAATGTGCCTTCACACACTAAGCCATCTCACCAGCTCCACTCTTCACTTATTTTGAAAGAGGTAGGCAGTAACTATTGCTAACACTCAACCTTTACATTATGAGCACAGACTCAGAGAAGGACAACAGTAGAACAGAATCCCAGCAGATTGGTAGGGTCAGGTGATGGACAGAGAGGACCAGCCCCTGACCAAGGCAGTCTCCATGGAGGAGAACGAGTGGGAAGTGGGTTCTGGATGGAGGCACTGCTCCCCAGGCCTGCAGACTCCTGCCTTCTATCACCTCCTGTTCTTGAGCTCAGCTCTGGACCCAAAGTCAGGTTCCTAGGAAAGTGTCAAGGGCCAGGTAAAACTATTCCATCCCATGGCTTCTTCTCATAGTGCAGAGAAACAAAGGCCAAGGGAAGACCTTGCTAGACCAGCCAGAAAGGGTTAAAGACTCAAGATGACACCTGGTTTTCATCCTATTTCTCTCCTTGTCCTTGGGTTCTCTGCTTTAGCAGAGACATTGGTAAAAGCTGTGGTCCATTTTTTTTCCCTGGGGTTGAACTTTCTGTGTCCATGGATACCTCTTTCTCCATTAAGTCAACAGGCAAGCGAGATATAAAAGATATAATCTTAGCCAGGCATGGAGGCAATCTCTCAGTTCAAGGCTAGCTAGCCAGCCTAGTCTACAAAGCAAGTTCGAGGACAGCCAAGGCTACACAGAGCAACCCTTTCTCAAAAAACTAAACAAACAAAAAAATGTATAATCTCAGCAGAAATGACATCTAAAGTCGACGGAAGTGTCAAACGTTGGACTCACACTTGTACACAATCATGTTTTATTTGAAAAGATGCCTACACTGTATTGAGTACCAACACAGGTGACCAAGACACTACAGCTCTGTCCCCATGGAAAGAATGTGGTATGTCACAAAGATTGGGAAATATCCTCTATTAACATCAAACCTTTCCATCCACCACATAAAAGTGGTTAAGATTGTACAAGATTATTTTTGCTTTCCCTGTCTTTCCTGAGAAGCAGAAGGCAGGGGTTAGAAACTGGTCGGTCTTATTTCCTATTCTAAAGCAGGCACAGGGGCCACTTCCACTTAAGGACCGAGTTTCAGTTTCATTCTTAGTTCTACAGTGGCTGAACCTCTAGCATCTTGTGACATCCAACAGCTTTCTCAGCATCTGGAATGAGATCTCCATGGTCCAGAAAGAAGCGGCTGATCTGAGTCCTAAGGAGATGAGGATGTGGCTTCTCAACTTGGGCTTTCCATCACCAAGGGGAGTGGAGGAGACAGACCTCTCTGGGTCGTCAAGTCATCTGAGGCTTAGAGATGGTTTGAATACTTGCAAAATTCGAAGCATCTTCCGGGAACTGAAGGCACAGTGGATGCTCCTGAAATAGTCTAACGAAGCTCTCTAGGGGCTGCCTAGCATGTCTGATTTTAGGTTTATACTTTCAAGGTAATGATTCAAACATATCTGAGAACAGACCCCGCTAGGCTGGAATATGTATGTATCCACTGCAGTTGCAGGTTGGCAACTGCAAAAGGACCCGTGCTTCTGTAACATTTCCAGATTCCTTTGCCTCTTAACAGTAACAGGGACTGGCCAGGAGAACCCATGGTTACAGTTGCTAAGGCTGGTGATACTGTCTCGGCTCTGCTCCATTTTCTAAGCCTGTTGTCTTTTGAATTGATCCTAGCATTTATGTTAAAAAATTTGTTTTCCAAAGGCAGATGCTTCGAGGGGCCATGGCTTGTCCTGTATCTTTCTGTCGGTACTTCTGGTAAGTGGAGGGGTCACCATGGCTGTGAGTAGGGTGGGTGGGCATTCCATGGGTCATCTTCCTCCACCGGAAGAGGATGGGGGAACAGAGCATGTTGGAAGCTCTCCTATTTTCAGTATGTTGGGAGAACAACTGTTCCGTTTAGCTCTTTAGGGCCTGTAAAAATAAAGAAAATCATTACTGCTTTTACTGTGGTTGGGACTAGTCACTCCCTTTCCCACTGTCACTTAATCTTATTGTCTTTTTCTGTAGTTTCTGTCCTTGTGCCCTTTCCCCCCAGATATTCCCCTCCACACCTTACGTAGCCAGGGTCAGGACCCCAGTCATTTCCAAACATGATACATGGACAGCTGCATGACAGTGCACCTCCCAGTCATAGATGACACATCCTCTCCCCTCCCCGCCCATCGTATTTCTTTGGTTTCCCTTTGGTCCGGAGTTGGAACATTCTGAATTCTAAAGGAAGCTTAGCCAAGAGTTAGATTCTTTCTGCTTACAGTCAATGCCGGGAAGATATAATGATCCACGTGGTGGAAGGATGTGAGGGACAGGTGTTGGGGAGGGAGCTAAATGCAAAACATGCCCGGCCCTCCACGCACACAGTGTAGTTACTCATCAGAACGGGGGCTTCGGCACGGCACCATGACGCACCATGACGGGCGCGTTTTCCCCAGCCCACCTGCTGCTGTTGGTGGTGGAAAGGAGCAAGGAGATTAGGAAACAAAACTTTGGATTTTTTCTTTCCAATTTGAGCAGTTGGAAAATTAAGACGAGAGACCAGATCTGTTCAGACCTCAAAGGAAGTCAGTTTTGTGTTTTTATAAACTTCTAAAGCCAGCACTGACATCCGTCCCAGGAAGACATCGGAGGCGGCGCCTGTGGAGGTGATGGGTTTCTAAGAGGACCTGTGCAGAGGTTTCTGCGCATGTGAAGGTTTGAGCGGTGGCAGGATTGCCTACATTTAAGACACATGGAGATAAGAGATTACTTACGAGAACCTTCCAGAAATCTTCCTCATAACCACAATGATGATCCCTCCGACGAAGCCGATGGCTAACAAGACGCCGACTATGATTCCAACCAGGGTCACTACTGCCAAGCCATCTGAATGGACCGGGAAAGAAGCGTGAGTCCCAGGAAGGAACAGACGTGCTGAACCCCGGGTCACAAGCAAGTAACAGAACTGCCCGCTGTTCTCGGCAGGGAATAATAATCTCCGCTAGGCTCCCAAATCCAGCTGAGTCAAGTGTGGAAACACTGAGTCATTTTTCTCTGCTTGGTACCAGAGAGCAAACAAACCCAGGCCTTGAGCATGCTCGTAGAGCACAGTATCACCGAGCCTCAGCTCCAGCCCTGATCTAACCCCATCTTGTGAATCAAGAGGTTTCTGAGTCTCTAGATCTAGACATAACAGCCTGGCTTCATTGTTGATGGGCATGCTTCTTTATGACTTCAATGACAAAAGCCCCTGAAAACTCAGAAGAGAAGGAACATACTTCAGCATAATAAAATATGTTTAGTACATAAAAAATGTATGCAAACTTACAGCCAATATTATTTAAGTGGGAAAACCTCAATTATGTCCATAAATAAAGATGCCAGCTTATTCAATATAATAGAGTAACTGTGATATGCTGTTATATTCTCCACAGCTGTCATTAAGTAAATACACTAAGTGTGGTGTGGGGTGGAGGGGTGTGTCTGTATGCATGCACAAATACATATTTACATAGCCTGTGTTTCCATACTAACAGAGTTACAAGTGAACTGTGCCCCCAGCCCTATTTCTTTTCTAATATACAGAATTTCCCTTTTTCTCTTAATAATTAGAAAGGTGAAGGTTTTGGGCCTGACAGAGCAGTCAGCCTGGGAAAACTTAGTGAGACTGTCTCAAAGTAAAAATTAGAAGAGGGCTGGGGATGTTGCTTGGTGGTAGAGCATTGGCTTAGGATGTATAAAGTCCTGGGTTCAATTCCCACTACTTCAAAAAGGGAGGGAGGGAGGGAGGGAAGGAGGGAAGGAAAGAAGGAGGGAGAGGGACACCATCTCTTTTTGGAAGATGTTCCATTCTGTTATTGTTTGACTAAGATCCAAGAAAGAATAGAATTCTTTAAAAAAAAAAAAAAGATTGAAACTTTCTTTTTATCTCCCAAAGGAATACCGAAACCTCCTTTACCTTTCTTATCTGTTGTCGGCATTTCATCACCAGTGTTATCTGGAAAGAGAAAAACACGATAGAGAATTATTAGGATTTAATGACTATATTAACAGTTGGCAGATAAAATTACCTTAAGTGGGATGTAACAAAACATACACAATGAGGGCAATTTCCTCAACAAACCAGACAGAGGGTTTAGAAGGCAGCCCTGACGGGTTGCTGTCTCTGTAAGATTATCATCAATTTGCAGCTGCTACATCCCACCTATAGGCGCTCTCTACTTGTGCACCGGTTGGATTTTTGTTTTATTTTATTCTCAGAGTCAAAGACACTGAGCCCCAGAGCTAGAAGATAAAAGGTTGGGAAACTTTGAGGCATTGAGATGGCAAAAGAATCCAGGTGTGGCTGCTTCAGTTTTTTTTATCAAGATCCTGGAAAACACAGAAATCGATAAGGGCTATCTGAGCACTTTCCCAGCAGGTTTCTAATTTGGGAAGAGGTAACCTGGGCTGCCTCCTGATATCTACTCCATTCTTCTTTGATGGCATTGAAGGACAGCAGCCAGCCCTGCTAGGCCAAGTGAGAACTGGACCCTTGTGACTTCTACTTCTGTTCTTGAGGGTTTTCTTCTTGCATTCCAGTCGGGCAACAATACACACCCTCTTTGAGTTCTTCCTCCCAGTGCTAAGATTGCAGGTGTGTACCCCCAAGCTCAACTACTTAAAAAAAAAAAAAAGAAAGAGAGAGAGAGAGAAAGAAAGAAAGAAGAAAGAAAGAAAGAAAGAAAGAAAGAAAGAAAGAAAGAAAGAAAGAAAGAAAGAAAATATTTAGTTTTGGTGGTGAGTCTCGCCTTTAATAGCTGAGCCACCTCTCCAGCCCAGATTTATTTATTTATTGTGTGTGTGTGTGTGTGTGTGTGTGTGTGTGTATTTATGTGGACCAGGAGCCTGCAGTAGTCAGAAGGGGGTATCAGATTTCCTGGAACTGGAGTTACAGATGGTTATTAGCTGCCATGTGGTTCCTAGGAGCTGAACCCTAGACCTCTGCAAAGAACAGCAAGTGTTCTTAGCCACTGAGCCACCCCTCCAACACCTAAGGGTGATAGCAGGAATGCTCAGAGAAAGGGGAAAGGCTGCCCTTTCTGCTAGTTAGACGCTGAATCACAATAGAAACGAGAAATCCTCCATGATTTCGAAATGTGTCGTAACACTCCTCGTTCTTTTCTCGCCGACTGGGTTCTGCCTGGTATTTAACCTCAGTGTTTGCTTAACAGCTCGAAGCAAGCTTTTCATTCTCTTCAAAGCACTTTACAGGTGTAACTCAGAGGTAGATAGAGCCATGAGGAAAGGGCTGGATTAGACCCAGAGCACCCCCAAATTCCCAACCAACTAACCAATTAACCAACCAACCAAACAGAACCCCTACCTAGCTTGATAAAATAATAGGCACAAAATGTATAGGGGCAAGAAAATCATGACATTAATTATGGTTTTGTGCTTTGTTCTGGGACAGGACCTCACTGTGTAGCCCTGGCTTGTCTAGAACTCACTCCGTAGACCAAGCTGCCCTCAAGTTCAGAGATTCACCTGCCTCTGCCTCCTGACTGCTGAGATTAAAGGTTCGTACTACCATGCCTGGCCAACATAAATCCTTTTAAGTGTGAACTTGCCTCTCGTGTATTGTAACATGTGCCAGCATTTCTTTCTCTTTTAAAGCTAAGTAATATTCCACCATGCGTAGATATTACATTTGTCACTGGTTTGTGAACACTGTTGCTTCCAGGTGTTAAATATTGTGGGCAGTAATATGTACACAGTGGTATGGACAAATATGGAAGATTGTGTTTTGTTCCTGAGACAGCATCTCATGTGGCTATTTTGTAAGATAAAGTTTTACTATGTAGCTCAGGCTAGCCTCTAATTAGCAATCTTTGTGCCTCAGAATATGAGCATTATGGTCATGTACTACCAAACCTGGGTCTAAAATCATTTTTTAAGGCCTCAGAAGTGCTAGAGAGGGGCTGGAGAGATGGATGTGGTGGCTGCTCTTCCAGGGGACCTGGGTTCACTCCCCAGCATCTTCATGGAAGCTTGAAGTAGTCTATAACTCCAGTTCCAGGGAATCCAATACCCTCACACAAACACCAGTGCACATACAATAAAAATAAATCATTAAAAAAAAAAAAGAAGAAGAATTGTTGAGTTCGTAAGGCCAGACTGGCAATTGGACCTGAAGTATGCATTAAATAGGATACAACATTCAGTCAGGCACAGAGGGCTATGTAATCCCAGCACTTGGAAAGTAGAGGTAGGATGATCAGGAGTTCAAGGCCAGCCTCAGCTACAAAGTCAGTTCAGGTTGGAGGCACCAGCTTGGATGATGGATGCAATCCAAAGTCCTGCTTGAGTCGGACTTATAATAGCCATAGTGTAAAGCGGGAAACTTTAGAATTGCTCCCCTTGAGGGTCAACACAAGATTTGTTAAACATTTTTATTACTTACTTATTTATTCGTTTCTTGTATGTGGGCACTGTGCTATGGTGTCCTGCAGGAGACAATTTTCAGGCCTTAGTTTCTTGCCTTCAACCATGTACATTCCAGGGACTGAACTCAGGTTGTCAAGCTTGGCAGTGAGCCTCTTTCTTTACCTGCCATAAAACCCATCTTACGCAAGATGTTTTTCCTTTTCAAAAATTTATTTTACTTTTATTATGTGTATGTGTTTGTGTGTGGCACCCTCAGAAGACAGAGGCATTGTGAGATTCTGGAAACTGAACTCTGAAAGTATTCGTGTGCTTGGCCAGTGAGCCTTCTCTCTAGCCCCAACACAAGGTTCTTAACAGTGGGGCAGCTACTGGCCCATGTAGGGAATTACCTCTAGTTATCACTCAAGGTTAAGAGAGATTTCCAGAAAGCCAATAAACTAAATCTAATTTGACAGCTGATACACTGGATTTTGGAGCGACCACACAAAGCCTGTTGTGGGATTTGTTTTCTTAGTCCCTCCTCTTAGACCCACCTCTATCGGGGTGACTTGTTTTCTTGTCCGCCGAGTGGCTAGTCACCACTTTGACTGTGGTTGTCCTCTCATGCTCTTTGTGATCATGGTCTGAGGTTCCTAAGGTTGGCAACTCCTCAAAGGGAGGCTTTGTCCCACTCTCTGTGTGTGTTGGGACCTGTTAGAAGTGAGGCAAGAAAGAGAGAAGATAAATCCTGAAGGTTTAAAATGAGTAGTGTCTGCCTTCCCGCAAGAAAGATTTTAAGATAGCATACATTAAAAAACAACAACAACAACAACAACAACCCATAAATTCCAGGTGGAAACCAAACCAAACCAAAACCAAGCCAAACCAAAAGCAAACCAAAATGGAGTGAAGATTGGGAATATAACCAGGTTCAATCCAGAAATGAATCTTAAATGTTAAGATAAGTCCCAAATCAAGACTTCTTGTCCCTTAATTCTTTAAAAAAACACTGGCTCACAAGCTCAGTTGCCACCCACTCAGGCCCAGATCCAGGACTGAGTTTGCCTACCCCAAAATCTGTATCATCTGCAAACGGCTAGAATCCATGAAAGGGCCAGTCCTGGGATCCAAAGCTGCAGGCTCTTCAGGACACAGGCAATTAACAAGATGAGCAGGAGTCCCGAAGGGGATCCATTACGGATGATGTCACAAAAGCCAGACATCGAATCAACCGGTGACTCATTGCAATGAACATCAGCAAGTGAAGATGTGTGGACAGAAGGATGCACTGTGGGACACACCGATACACTACAGCTTCCACGATGAGATGTTTTCTATGCTGTGTTTTGCTTATTTTTGTTTGTTTGTTTGTTTGTGGTTGGGGGAGGTTGCAAGGGTGGAGGGCAGATATTAGGGAACAGAAAGATGAGGGTGACTGGGGGAGGGGTGTGATGTGAAACTCACAAAGAATCAAAAAAAGTCTTTAAAAAAAAAAAGCCCTCAAAACATCAACTTGGCAGAACTATGTGGAAGGGGACAGCTGACTGTCACCGACAACTTACTTTGTATTGGGCTCGTTAAATGCATTCTCGATACGCCACGGGCAACTTTACGAAATTCAGTGAGCAAAGCTGAAGGGCTTTCATGGTGTGCCAGAACTCACAGCCATTCCATGACAGTGGAAGACTAGGGAGTGATTCTGGTTTTAAGTATAAATGTATGCAGGGGTTGGGGTGGCCGTGTGTGAACGTGTTTGTTGTTCGGAGACATAGGTCTCTCACTGGCCTGGGGATTGCCAATTAGGCAAGACTAGCTGAGCAGCAAACCCTAGGGACCCACCTGTTGCTGCCTTCCCAGAGTTAGGGCAACCACCAGGTATCATCACATCTGGCTTTCGTGTAGATTCTGGGAATTGAACTCAGGTCCCCATGCTTGCAAGGCATGCATGTTACTGAGAGCCGTTTCCCCAGCCCAGTGCAGGCTTTTAAACTTTTTCATTGTTCATCACCGAGGACAGAGCAAATTATTTGGATCAAGAGATACACAGGGAGAGGTTAGGTAGGAACTGGCTTGGGGCTTTCATATCCTTTTCGGATGAATGCATCTCCCCTCCGCAAGGACCTACCGAAGTTCCCTGAATCCAGTCCTTTTTTAAGTTCATTTGTCTGTTTGTTTTACTTGGCAGAATCTTACTATGTAGCCCTGGCTGTCCTGGAACTCACTGTGTAGACCAGGCTACAGGAATTATTTTACTATTTGCAGTAATAGCCACCGTATCATAGGATATGCATTTACAGACACCTGCCTCCTGGATACTGGAATTATAGGTGTAATTACATGCCCCAGCTCAAGTTTGCAAATACTAAGCTATTTTCTTACTATTTTGTGAAGGTATGGTCTAATTTTTTACTATACTGTCGCTGTCTTCAGACACAGCAGAAGAGGCCATCAGATCCCATTACAGATGGTTGTGAGTCACCATGTGGTTGCTGGAAATTGAACTCAGGACCACTGGAAGAGCAGTCAGTGCTCTTAACTGCTGAGCTATCTATCTCTCCAGCCCACAAGAAGATGTGGTCTATTGCTTTCCAACAGTCTGTGCCATACCAGCTCCCTTGGCCCTGAATGAGACCTGTGTCACAGTTGTGAGCCCCACCACCATTTCTTTGTATGGAGCTGTTTTCTTATATAAACATATATCATACCCTGGCATGCGACTGTCTATTTTTGGAGCAACTCCCCCTTTCCCTGGACACTTGACACTCACCAGAGGTGCCTTGCCAGTAGATTCATTCAGCCCTCCAGTAGCACTTGTGGTTGCTATTCTGTCTTCTAGACCTGGGGCCACTATGCCATCTCCTGTACCTGGCGTCACAATATCATCTTCTAGTGCACTTATGGTCCCTGAAAAAGAAAGGCCAGTCAGGGATGCAATACGTAAATGATGAGGGTGAAAATAATTGGCTATCTACAGCCATGATTCTGTTTCTTACACTTTAAGATGAGGCCCTCTCTGCCCCATCTTTGTATCAGAGCCAACACTGCTGTCGTTGAGGTACCTCTGACATACACCATGGCCCGGTTGTCTCCACTCAGAAGCAAAGGAAAATGGAAACACATAGAGAAGGTGCTAGCTAGATACTCCTGCCGTGGACATATCTGCCCTTCCCTTTTTAGTAGAGACTGTCTTCCCAGCTAACACGTTCAGGCAGACAGAGTATTGTATAGCCAGAAACACGCTGTAGAATCATTTGAACAGTTTTCTAAACATACCACCGGGGTCCATGCTCTGTCCAAACCTACAATGTCCAACAAAATAACTGTCTGTTTGATTTTTACAATCAAACACAGGCTTAGAGTTATAGCCCAGCAATGGAGTACATGCTCAGAATATCCAAGGCACTGGTCTTAATTCCCAGCACTAAAACATTAACCAGCTAAAAACAAACAAACAAGCAAACAAACAAACAAACGTCTGGCAAGATGGCCAAGAAGGTAAAGGTACTCTGCTGCCAAGCCTGAGAATCTGAGATCAAACCGGGGATCCACATGGTGGAAGGAGAAAACCAACTTTTGCAAACTGTCCTCTGATGGACACATGTGTGCCATGACACATGTCTGCCTGCCCCCATAAATACATAAAATGTAATAAAATTTAAAACAACAACAAACCAAATCTCCATTATTATTTAATTGAGGCTGCTGCTCACTGGATAATTAAGACTGCTGACTCACTGACTTCATAGACTCATTTCAACTTCTTTATTGAGATAGGTAGGACCCCTCTACATAGCCCTGGCTGTTCCATAACTCACTATGGAGACCAAGCTGTCCTGGAACTCACAAAGATCCTCCTGTCTCTGATTCCTGAATGCTGGGATTAAAGGGGTGCACCACCATGTTACATCTGGACAATGGAGTCAGCAATACACTTAAAGGTGTTGAGATGCCATAGGACGCTTTGCATCCAAAGCTAAACACTTGGATCCAACTGCCCTAGCCTGTGTGTGTGTGTGTGTGTGTGTGTGTGTGTGTGTACGTATGTATGTGCTATGCTGTGTGTAAGTTCAGAAGACAACCTCAGGTGTCATTTATGGTGGTTTGGATAGGAGTGACCTCCATGTGTTTGAATGCCTGGCTCATATGGAGTGGTACTATTAGGAGGTGTAGCCTTGTTAGAGGAAGTGTGTTTTTTGTGGGTTTTAAGGTTCCCTATGCTCAAGCTATGCCCAGTGTGGTGGTATACAGTCTCCTTCGCTGCCTGAAGACTGAGATGTAGAGCTTCCAACACTATGTCTGTCTGTATGCTGCCGTGCTTCCTGTCATGACAAGGGGCTAAACTGTAAGCCAGCCTCAATTAAGTGTTATCCCTTTTATAACAGTTGTCCTGGTCATAGTGTCTCTTCACAGCAACTAAACCCTAAGTAAGACATCGGTTCCCCACTTCCACCTTGCTGGAGACAGAGTCTCTTATTGTTTGCCACTCTGTAAGTCAAGCTAGCTGAACTGTGGATTCTCTTGTCTCCATCCCCCAATAGGAAGCACTAGACCCAAGGATGTACCCTACTGCATCTGCTTTCTGTGCGTTCTGGGCTTTAAACTCAGGTCCTCGTGCTTGGGTGACATGTGAGTTAGTTACTGTCCACCTGACACAAACTAGAGCCACCCAGGAAAAAAAGGAATCTTAATGGCAAAGTACCACAGCTTGCATCTGTATCCCCAGATGCCACGTGTAGAAATCAAAGCTTTACATTCATTGACTCAACAGAGTTTGAAGCTGGGGCCTTGGAAAGGTAATGGAAATGGCATGAGGTCATCAGGATGGGGTCACCAGGAGGTGACTGGTGGGTTAGTAAGAGGAGGGTAGATCTGCATGCACTTTTACTGCTTCATCACGTCTTTGGCAAAGCTATGACATCACAAAGGCATTGGCAGAAATGGCACGGTGCTCTTGAACTTTCCAGCCTCCAGAGCCACGAGGAGAATAAAGATATATGATATACACTTTTTTAAAAAAGATTTATTTGTTTACTATTTATGAATACACTGTAGCTGTCTTCAGACATACCAGAAGAAGGCATCAGATCTCATTACAGATGGTTGTGAGCCACCATGTGGTTGTTGGGATTTGAACTCAGGACCTCTGGAAGTGCAGTCAGTGCTCTTAGCCACTGCGCCATCTCTCCAGCCCTGATATACACTTTTAAATGACATAATTTGGAGTATTTTGTTAACAGCAGCAGAAAATGGAAGGACTCAAAACAGCGTGAGGAGTTGACAAGTGTCCTCCTCTGTTGCCTCTGACTAACCGTATACCAGAGCATCTGCTCTTACTTAACTCACATAATCCTGTTCACGAGTTACAGATCTGACTCACTGGCTATGGGCTTCCTCCCTAGACTGGAGCAGCAATAGAAATGCTGTGCCTACAAGCAGTTGTGAAAGAAGCAAGGGTGTTGGAGGAATGGGAGGGAGGGGTTCTTGGAAAGTGCCCTGCGTAATTAAAGAGCAGACGTCTTCCGGTGGACGCTGCTCTGATGAGCAATGCTTCCCTCAGATGTGTTATTTTCCCTCTGTTAAGACAGCCCAGCCAGGAGCATGGCTAACAAATGTTTGATCATAACTCCAAGTGCTCATGCCAACGGGCCGGGAGGCCTCTGGAGGAAAGTTGCTCTGTTTCGGAGCCTTCTCTGTGCAGTTGGCCCTATTCCAGTTGCCAACGGATGGCTTGAGATGAGCTACTTACCAGAGGCAACAAAACAAAACAAAACAAAACAAAACAAAACACTCAGGAAAAGTCTTAAAACCTTCAAAACTCAGTGCATACAAACGGTAGGCCTCCTCTTGTGGCCATTTGCTACTGTGGGCTGAGGGCAGGGATTGTGTCTGTGGAGTAGACAGATGTTTAATGTCCATGTTCCAGACAAATAATTGCTACTTAAAAGCTAAGCATCCCAGTGGAATAGACATTTCTTCAGTGGAATAGCCATTGGTAAGGTACCCACACCAGGCCTGGAGAGAAGGCTCAGCAGGTTAAAAGCACAGTCTGCTCTTCTAGAGGTCAGGAGTTCAATTTTGAGTTCAATTTCCAGCAACCTTGGTGGCTCACAACCATCTGTAATTGGATCTGATGCCCTTCTCTGGTGTGCATGAAGACAGCTACAGTGTACTCATATAAATGAAATAAATAAATACATCTTTTGAAAAAAAAAAAGGTACCCACACTCCTCCTGTAGGCAACCCTACTGAAATTCACTGGGACACACACATGCACACACACACACACACACACACACACTCACACATGCACACACATACATGCACAGAAGATATGAAATCAGGAAGGGAGCGGTTTGTTAGTTTGGAAGAGAATGAAGACTAGAAAGACAGTGGGAAGGACCAGAAAAGAGGTGAATATGGTTAGAACACACTATATGCATGTATTAAAATGTCATAAGGAAACTCAGTATCATGTACACATACTACATGCTAATAGAAGACATTAAAAAACAAAACAAACAAACAGAAAAACCTTCATTCCTTTGGATTAAATTCACTTTTAAACATCAATTGTTAAAGGTTTCCTGGAACCACTGTCAAAATCACTTTTCATCCCATGTCTCTAACTTAAAACAAGCCCTGCTTTAAAAACAAAAGTTCTGAATGAAGCTGGCTTCAATTCCTTCATAGAAAGCTCAGTTCACTGAAAGAGTAACTCGATAAAAATTCCTCCTTGTTCTTTCTTCCTCTTGGCCCTTGGAGCCAAGAACTGAAGTCGCCCTGAATAGACAAAGGGTGTTTTATGAATGACCATGCGTGTCTTTTGTCTCTCCGGTCCAGCATTCTTTTTGGCTCCATGGGAAAGTTATCTTTACAAGATTCTCAATTATTTTGGCGGAAGGCTTTCCCTGGTGGAGAGCGTTGACTGGTCCAGCTGCCGCCCAGCCAGCAGTTGACATTCTCCTTTCTCTTTTCTTGTGATCTCCAAGCTGTGGATTGATGTCTTTGCACTCGTGGGTCCTCCCAGGAGGTACACACCAGCATGTAGGCGCCTGGGGTTGCACTTCGTGCTTGCATACAAATGCTATAGAAGTAGAGAGTGAGGAGTCTATAATTGCAACTGATGCTCTCAGTCTGGCTTGCCAGGAAAGTTCTGGAAACATCTATAACCCTTCCCAGTCACCTGAGTACACTTCCTGACACACTCAGCTGCAGCTGGCACGGGCGTGAGACTCAACGGAATTTCTCCACACGACAGAAATCCATCCCTTGGTGTTTTTTTTTTTTTTATTGCTGTTCTTTAAAAAGGGAGAGGGCGGTTGGGCGGTGGTGGCGCACGCCTTTAATCCCAGCACTTGGGAGGCAGAGGAAGGTGGAGTTCTGAGTTCGAGGCCAGCCTACAGAGTGAATTCAAGGACAGCCAGGGCTACAAAGAGAAACCCTGTCTCGAAAAACCAAAAAAACAAACAACAACAACAACAAAAACCAATAATAATAATGCTGAGTATGGCGATAAACACCTGTAGCCCCAGTGCTGGTGGAGGGAAGAGAGGATCAATAGAGCTTACTGGCCAGCCAGTCTAGCAGAACTGGAATGCTCAGTGAGAGACCCTGTCTCTAAAATAGATGAAGACTGACGGAGGAAGAAGACATCCAATATCAGCCTAATACAAGCACTAGTATACAGGTCCACATATCCACACATGAACACATACACAGCGCAATACACATACGCATACGTGCACACACACACATGCACACACAAACATACACACACGCACTGAATGTGTTCTTTCTTTAGATGCTACAGCCTGTTTTTCTTTTCTTTAAAGATTTATTTTACATGATTGCTCGGTCTGCATGGACAGCTGCATGCCAGAAGAGAGCATCAGATCATAGTATAG